TAGTAACATTGACTTTAACAGTTATGTGTAGACTTTCCTGTCATAGTATTTATGGTCTTCATAGCCCAAGATTACCCTTTAAATTCTTCTCTTGATCAAATCAAAAGGGAAATACCTTGATTCTCTTGTACAAGCGATATAGCAACAGGTTTAGCTGTGTTCTGTGAGGAATCCTGAACTGTATATAATTGGGATGCTTCCAAAATGTTCCATGTCTAAATGGCTCTGTGTCAGCCTTTCCTAAAAGATGTGCAGCTAATAAAAGCCATTATTTTTGCCTACAGGTACCCTGTTGTTTTACTGAACGTGAATATTTCTGGAAGCTGCTATGTGCAGAAATGCCATTTTAATTCCATTCTGTATCCATTACAAATGAGTTTGTAGATATGATCTGCCTTAACAGAGAACGCTTCTGGAATTGGCAAATCCCTTAAGAAGATATTTTTTGGGGTAAGTAGTCAAATAATATCGGTTCAGATGCCCACTTCTGCCAGAAACTCATTTCTATAGATAGCTAGGAAAGGATGATGAATAAAACTTCGTTCATAGTTTGCTTTCCCATTTAATAAAGGTGAAAATGTCCAGAGCTCTTTTGAGGAATGGTTATTGTAAAATTTGTTTAGTTCATAGGTATGAAATATGATGCCATAATTTAATAGACATTATTTTTTTGTATTTAGTGGATTTTAATCCTGCCCTTCAGTCATGGAGTTTAGGGAAGCATATCTCATTCTCCTCTCCACCATTTTAGCCTCACATTAACCTTATGAAGTAGGTTAGGTTGAGAGAGAAGGGCTGGCCCACAAGCGACCCACAGAGCTTTGGGGAAGAATGAGGAGCTGAACATGGTCCTTCCAGATCCCAGTCCAGTGTTCTGGCCGCTGCACTGTACCTCTCTTATGTATTTATTTTCTTCATTTCTTATTTCATGTTTCTTATTGGGTGGATTGCTGTTGACCTGTGTCTCTTAGATGTGAAGAGAATTTAAGTATTTAACAACTTGGATATTATCAGCCAGATCCCCTTTCCACAGAGATTCCAACCAGCCGTAACTTGATAACTTTTGTCTGAAACCCATCCTTTCAGAAAAAACACCCCCTCATATATTTCTGTTGATTTCTTTTTTTGGAAATGGTTAATTTAACTCAGGTAGGAATTAGAGCCAGATATTTTTTTGCATAGGAGTTATAAAATTTTGCTCCACATTCCATCAGTTTTCACAAGAACTCAGGACTTTATGTGAAACGTCAGAAAGATATTTGTTCACAATAGCAACAGAGAACTCAGTGTAAAATTCAGTCTATACATTCTAGGATACCACTTCAGACATGCACATGAATGATATTTGTTTGAAAGCACCCCCTTGTCAAGCACAAGGAGAACATAGGCAAGAAGTGTATGTATCTGAGATGTTACATGCCTCTAAAGATTGCACCATATGCTCAGCTCAACATTTTATTTGGCTAGCAAGCTAAATTTTGTTTATCATGCCAAATTTTATATATAAATTGGGTTTCTTTAGTTGAAACAATGTCCACTCATAGCTGGCTGGAATTTACAAGGTGGGTGGAGTGATTTCACTCAAGAGACACCAACCAAGGGCAGGCCACTTACTAGGCATGAAGATATACAAGAAGCTAGGCATGAAAGTACCGTAAGAAAACAAGAACAGAGACAAGTTCAGAGACAAAATGGACAGTACCTTGGACAGCTCCCTCTCAGCAGACAACTTGCTCCAATGAGATCCAGAGCCAGAATGAACCTATATACCCCTCTGGCAGCTCTAGAGCAAGATTTTCTTCTCCCTCTGAGAAGTAGACATGAATATTCTCGTCTTTTAAGTAGTATCCTCTGAATAGTATCCTAATCTGGCATGTTACGTTCTATTATCATATTAGGGTTGCCAATTGGGCTGGCAATCAGTGGGAGAAGGAGGGGCAGGGATGGAGGGAATGATGTTATGTCAATGGCACTATGTCAGTTGCGGTGAATACCCAGAAGTGATGTCATGTCGCCAGCATGATGTTGAACACTCTAGGATTTGGACAAAACTCTTCAGTATCAGAGTCTATACCTGTCACTTCTGTGGTCAAGCTGCAGATTCTATACCTCCTTCCCAGATTTAGTGTCCAGGTAACTGCTTGAGACTAGCATTATGGTCAAAGATATAGGACCAGTTCATCCAACTACTTGGCTGCCAAAATCTTTTCCGTAGCAAAGGAACAGGTGCATAGCCTTCTTCCCCTCCCCCCAAACACATACACCTCTGGCAATATGTGGTATAAATGCTTAATGCACAAAGCATGACTCTTCCGCGCACTTCTGTGGTCAAGCTGCAGATTCTTTACCTCCTTCCCATATTTAGTGTCCAGGTAACTGCTTGAGACTGGCATTATGGCTAAAGATATAGGACCAGTTCATCCAACTACTTGGCTGCCAAAATCTTTTCCGTAGCAAAGGAACAGGTGCATAGCCTTCTTCCCCTCCCCCCAAACACATACACCTCTGGCAATATGTGGTATAAATGCTTAATGCACAAAGCATGACTCTTCCGCCACTAAATGTGGGGAGAACATAGGAAAAGGGGTATCATGTGTGAAGCCTTAATGTCACATGTATTGGGTGTGTGTGGTGATGTTAGAGCACCCTCTGGTTTCTTCATCACAGAAACCTGGCATTGTGATGGTGGTTTAAACAAGGCAAAACAGTTTCAGGAATGTAAATGTGGAACAGGAAAACAAATGCATTATGAACTTGATTTTTTAAAAATTCTGCTGAGATCCATTCTTAGAAAACCTTCCTGGGATTGCCTTTTAAATTCTCTGAAGGATGGTCTTTAAATTAAATCTCATACAACTACAGGACAAGCTGAATTAATTAACTATCTTTTCTCTTCAAGTGACAAAGTGTAAACCAGACTTCATTTTATTCAGGTTCACTAAGTCTAATTTAATAAATCACCAAGTAATTTAACCTCACCCCACTGAAAGTGATTAGCATTGCATTTGAAGTTTTTGTTTCTTCTCTGCTTTTAATATGACTTCTCACAGTACGTAGAAATGAAAAGTATCTGCAGTGAGAGCAAAACTGAATTGAATTACCTAAATACATCTTACCTTCTTTTTTTTTTTTTAGATGCGATGTAATATTACATGCCTTGAAAGCTGGCCATAGAACTGACAGTATTCAAAATGGTGTATGGTGAGTTCTTCCACAGACCAGGACAAGACGAGGAGCTCGTCAACTTGAACGTGGGTGGCTTTAAGCAGTCCATTGGCCAAAGTACATTGCTCAGATTTCCACATACAAGGCTTGGAAAACTACTCAAATGCCATTCAGAAGAGGCTATTCTGGAACTGTGTGATGACTACAGTGTTGCAGACAAGGAATATTATTTTGATAGGAACCCTTCCTTGTTCAGATATGTGCTGAACTTTTATTACACAGGTAAACTCCACGTTATGGAAGAGCTTTGCGTCTTCTCCTTCAGCCAAGAAATAGAATATTGGGGGATCAATGAACTCTTCATTGATTCCTGTTGTAGCAATAGGTACCAAGAAAGGAAAGAAGATGGTCCTGAGAAGGACTGGGACCAGAAAAGCAGTGAAGGAAGTATAGACTCTGCATCTCAAGAGACACCAACCAAGGGCAGGCCACTTACTAGGCATGAAGATATACAAGAAGCTAGGCATGAAAGTACCGTAAGAAAACAAGAACAGAGACAAGTTCAGAGACAAAATGGACAGTACCTTGGACAGCTCCCTCTCAGCAGACAACTTGCTCCAATGAGATCCAGAGCCAGAATGAACCTATATACCCCTCTGGCAGCTCTAGAGCAAGATTTTCTTCTCCCTCTGAGAAGTAGACATGAATATTCTCGTCTTTTAAGTAGTATCCTCTGAATAGTATCCTAATCTGGCATGTTACGTTCTATTATCATATATTAGGGTTGCAAATTGGGCTGGCAATCATTGGGAGAAGGAGGGGCAGGGATGGAGGGAATGATGTTATGTCAATGGCACTATGTCAGTTGCGGTGAATACCCAGAAGTGATGTCATGTCGCCAGCATGATGTTGAACACTCTAGGATTTGGACAAAACTCTTCAGTATCAGAGTCTATACCTGTCACTTCTGTGGTCAAGCTGCAGATTCTATACCTCCTTCCCAGATTTAGTGTCCAGGTAACTGCTTGAGACTAGCATTATGGTCAAAGATATAGGACCAGTTCATCCAACTACTTGGCTGCCAAAATCTTTTCCGTAGCAAAGGAACAGGTGCATAGCCTTCTTCCCCTCCCCCCAAACACATACACCTCTGGCAATATGTGGTATAAATGCTTAATGCACAAAGCATGACTCTTCCGCCACTAAATGTGGGGAGAACATAGGAAAAGGGGTATCATGTGTGAAGCCTTAATGTCACATGTATTGGGTGTGTGTGGTGATGTTAGAGCACCCTCTGGTTTCTTCATCACAGAAACTTGGCATTGTGATGGTGGTTTAAACAAGGCAAAACAGTTTCAGGAATGTAAATGTGGAACAGGAAAACTAATGCATTATGAACTTGATTTTTAAAAAATTCTGCTGAGATCCATTCTTAGAAAACCTTCCTGGGATTGCCTTTTAAATTCTCTGAAGGATGGTCTTTAAATTAAATCTCATACAACTACAGGACAAGCTGAATTAATTAACTATCTTTTCTCTTCAAGTGACAAAGTGTAAACCAGACTTCATTTTATTCAGGTTCACTAAGTCTAATTTAATAAATCACCAAGTAATTTAACCTCACCCCACTGAAAGTGATTAGCATTGCATTTGAAGTTTTTGTTTCTTCTCTGCTTTTAATATGACTTCTCACAGTACGTAGAAATGAAAAGTATCTGCAGTGAGAGCAAAACTGAATTGAAGTACCTAAATACATCTTACCTTCTTTTTTTTTTTTAGATGCGATGTAATATTACATGCCTTGAAAGCTGGCCATAGAACTGACAGTATTCAAAATGGTGTATGGTGAGTTCTTCCACAGACCAGGACAAGACGAGGAGCTCGTCAACTTGAACGTGGGTGGCTTTAAGCAGTCCATTGGCCAAAGTACATTGCTCAGATTTCCACATACAAGGCTTGGAAAACTACTCAAATGCCATTCAGAAGAGGCTATTCTGGAACTGTGTGATGACTACAGTGTTGCAGACAAGGAATATTATTTTGATAGGAACCCTTCCTTGTTCAGATATGTGCTGAACTTTTATTACACAGGTAAACTCCACGTTATGGAAGAGCTTTGCGTCTTCTCCTTCAGCCAAGAAATAGAATATTGGGGGATCAATGAACTCTTCATTGATTCCTGTTGTAGCAATAGGTACCAAGAAAGGAAAGAAGATGGTCCTGAGAAGGACTGGGACCAGAAAAGCAGTGAAGGAAGTATAGACTCTGCATCTGAAGAGTCTTCCGTGTTTGAGAAGGAGCTTGAGAAGTTTGATAAGCTGTGGCTTGGGAACTTGCGCAAGAACATATGGATCAGAATGGAGAATCCTGGATATTGTTTGTCAGCCAAGTTAATTGCTGTTTCATCCCTGAGCGTGGTCCTGGCATCTATAGTGACCATGTGTATCCACAGCATGCCAGAGTTCCAAGAGCTGGACGCCAATGAAAGAGAGATTGAAAACCCTGTTCTGGAAGTTGTGGAGATCATATGCATTATCTGGTTCACCTCTGAGCTAGTGATCAGGTTGGCTGCTGCTCCAAGTCAGAAGAAGTTCTGGAAGAATCCACTGAACATCATTGATTTTGTCTCCATAATCCCTTTCTACGCCACCTTGGCAGTGGACACAAAGGAGGAAGAGAGTGAAGACATTGAAAACATGGGCAAAGTGGTTCAGATCCTACGGCTAATGAGGATATTCCGTATCCTGAAACTGGCGAGGCATTCTGTCGGACTACGGTCTCTGGGTGCCACTTTGAGACACAGTTACCATGAAGTTGGACTCCTGCTTTTGTTCCTGGCTGTGGGGATTTCTATTTTTTCTGTGCTGGTCTATTCGGTGGAGAAAGATGATGAGACGTCAGAACTGCAGAGCATCCCCATCTGCTGGTGGTGGGCCACCATTAGCATGACAACCGTTGGTTATGGGGACACCTTTCCAGTCACCCTGGCAGGAAAGATCATTGGGACATCCTGCATTATCTGCGGAATATTAGTGGTGGCTCTCCCCATCACCATCATTTTCAACAAATTCTCCAAATACTATCAGAAGCAGAAGGATATTGATGTGGACCCCTGCAACAACAACCAGGAGGAAAAGACAAATGAGCTCCCTTATTTTAATATTAGGGATATTTATGCAAAAAAGATGCACTCCTTTATTTCTAGCCTTTCTTCAGTAGGAATTGTAGCCAACGATCAAGACTCAACAGACGCCTCCAGTATCCAAGATGTTGAGGATGTTTATAACGTAACATCTTTGCAGAACGGTACAGGAAAATGAGTTGAATCTTTCTCTCTCTCTCTCTTTTTACAGCTGTTTTTCGCTTCGAATATTTGGTTAGCGCACCTTTATTAAGAGCACACAAATCTCAGGGTATTTTGCTGTCTGCCATATGTGGGCATTATTTGCTCCAATGATGTCACACATTCTTCACTGTTTAGATGAGGCTTAAAGATAGATAAGCGGCGTATGGTGGTTTAGTCTTAGGAAAACAGCATTAAGGGAGTTGTTTTTCCCCTCCAGCCAGGGGCGATAGCGTTTTAAAGGATGTGTGGTTGGAATTGACTGCTCTTTGAGAAATGGCAAACAGCTAGAACATAAGATGTACAGCTTAATGAGGTGAAATTCTTACACATGCACATTCCTGAAAAGAAATGCAAGTGCATGTAAAACCATATTCACTTAGAAGCCAAATGCATTTCCTAAAATAGGACGTGGATTTATTAATAACAGATACTAACGGCTATTCATTATGGCACAAGTTTTAATCCTTGGCTGCAGTTCTGTTAGGCATTTTTCAGAGAAGGAAATTCTTAGATGTTCCACGCAAAGTATCGTGCTTCCTGCATAATGTGAACCACATGGATTCTGATCTCTCCTGGGGAGAGACATGGAGCTTGCCTTCGTGTGTTCTGGGGGGATGCAGGTGTTCCCAGTTCAGAGTAGTTCATGCTTCAGCCATATTAATCCTTCCAAACTATTGCCTTGAGTCACTTTTCCATAGAGATTCATAGAGCTAGAAGATACCAAAAAGCCATCTGGCCCAGTTCATGGGTCTTGACCTGTTAATTTACCAGCCCCCTGAATGCATATGACCATATGTGATGAGCACTGAAAAGGTGCACTGCCTAATGGTAATAGCCGACTACATGGACTTCAGTCTCTGCATTCTGGGCCTTTGGAATGAATCCATTCCTGCACCTGGAAATGTGTTTTCTTTTATTTCCTTTTACATTCAGTTCTGGTTTTGGGAAAGCACAATACTTCCTGTTTCTCTAGTGCTATGGATTCATTCAGTCTGTCTATACAAACAGGCTAGCTGTCAAGTATTGGCCTGGCCTTTGAGCTTTGTTTTATATCTCCTGTATGCTTCTTTTGGTGACAGTGACAGATGCAGTGCAATGGAAGAGAGAATCAGTTTTTGTTTTCTACTAAAGCTGTTGAAGGAAGTTACTATGGCTTACTGGAAATGGAACTGTGGTGCTTCTCTTATTGTTCATGACTTACTGCATATAGAAATAACATTAGCTGGAATCAGCTGGTGGCTGACGTTCATTGGGAATCTTGTGATCGCCTGCAGATTGTTCAGATACCATTACACTGTTC